GTAGTAGTAGTAGTAGTAGTAGTAGAGTAGAGTAGAGAGAGAGAGAGAGAGAGAGAGAGAGAGAGAGAGAGAGAGAAATTTGTGGGAGAAATTTAAGGAAGAGGTAAAGAGAGGAAAATAGATAATGAGAGAGATAAATATATGCAAAGAGATGTGAGAGAGATAAAAATTTATAGGAGAGATTTAAGGAAAGATGTAAAGAGAGAGAATAGGAGAGAGATAAATATGTGGGGAAATATTAATGAAAGAAAAGAGGGAGAGATATTATTGCTTTGGAGAGAGAATGGACAGAAAAGGCAATTATATAAAATAAAAGGACAGGTGGCGCAAAAATAGCGATGCTATTTCTCTCACTTAATATAGAGTAGATATAATACTTTATTATATATGGGTGTGGTTTCCATAAAGTTGTAATCTTAAACAATCCAATTAAGGTACACCTTCAAATTTTATTATAACATATAATTTTGATGTAAAATATTCTTAGGATTATCTCAAAATCTAATTTTCCATCTAATTATAAATTTTAAACTTTAAAAATGGTTACAATCAAGTAGATCTATAAATATATGAAAATGTTGAAAATGGACAATCTAGATAATGTATTGTAAGATGCACTATTTTTGGGACTCAAAATCTTTTTTTTTCCCATAGTCATACATCTCAATATTGAGATGATCAATTAGAGGGTTTCCAACATTAAAACAACCTTCTCCAATGGATTTTGAGGTGCATCCGTAGTTATAAATTTTAAAGTTGCAACCTTATATAAAATTTTTCCACAATTATATTATACTATACTATACTATAAGTTTTTCATTAAATATATTATTTACTAGATAATATGCTAGTTAACATATAAGTGAAAATACAACCTGAGAAATGTTTTTCCATAAAGTGAGGTGTAGTGGTGTTTTTATGGAAAATGGACTATTATATGATAAGGTATTGAGAAAGTATAGAATGAGACCATTTACCTTTGGTACAAGGCAGTCACATTAATCTTGATCATTATATGTGACATTGGGTGGCTACAATTATTCCATTGACCAAGCTCAAACTTCAAAAGAATTTTTCTCGAACTTTGTGACACATCCGGGTAATCAAATTTCACATTGGATGGTTGTAGGTTATTGTGACTACCTTATATCAAAAGTAAATGGTCTCATTGTATACAATCCCTAAGGGCGTGTTTGTTTTTCTTAAAGTATTCTTTCAAAAAGTATTTTTTCATATTTTTAGAAAGTTTCCCATTTGTTTCACATTTTCCATCTAATGTTTGAAAACTAATCTTTCAATACAAGTTCTCATTTCTTTGTTAAAAAGTGAAAGAACAAGTTCCTAGGTGGGGGTAGCGCCTTAATCTTTTAGAATTTTTTGCTGATCATTGTTCACTCTGCATAATATAAATACATAATATTCGCATTATCAATATGATAAATATAATTCTTTTGATAGATTGCTGAGTAAAGTCAAACTGTCTATTTGGTCTTGGCTCTCAATTACTAAGGAGGGTTGGGGATTTCACCACCCGATGTTCTATTGAATTTGTCAAATTTTTCTTTTGATAGGTAGAATAAAGATGAGACCAATGAGTATTTGGGTGGCACCAGAGAGTGGGGGACTTAAGTTAAATTTTGATGGGAGCACTCTGGCAAATCCAAGTTTGGTAGGCATTGAGGGTGTGGGGCGATACTGTTTTGGAGAGGTCATCTTCTCATATGCTGCCCCTATTGGTATAACCACGGCAAACCAATCGGAGTTAATGACTTTGTTGCAAGGGTTACAAATTTTTATCTCTAGAAACATCGGGAGTAGCTGTATATTGAAGGAGACTCTATGAACGCAATTAATTGGTGCAAGAAGGAGCAGCGTATTCCATGATAACTGAGGTCTAGCTGGCTGTAGACCATAGATCAGGTGGATCCACTTTCAGTTCCTTTCTTTTATGTCTTTCGCGATGTGAATTATTTGGCTGACTTTCTTGCTAAAGGAGGGGCTTCTTTGTCCGCTCTAGTTATTTCCTTCGATGTAATTTTATTTAGTAGATTTTATAAATAAAATAAAGAGTATTTGTTAAAAAATATATCATGTAATATAATATAAAATTATTATAACATAATATTACATAATATTATATTATATAATTATAATATATATTATATTATGTTATATATATTATATATTTATATTTATATGGTTAATATATTTATGTTATGAAACGCAGTACCCAAAACTTTCTTAACATTTCAGTAGGTCATCAAACACAATACATATAATTTATTTTAACCTTTTAGAACAAAACATTCAATTTTTCAAAGGATTTAAAAATGTTCAACTTTCTGAAAGATATCTTTAAGAAAACCAAACACACCCTAAAGTATTTTATCATGGGTTTTATTTTTTTTAGAAAAAGAGCTTGGATTTAATTGGTTAGCGCTTGACAATTTACATCACTATGTTTTAGGCTCAAACCCAGCCCTCTCGCAATTAATTTACTTTAAAAAAAAAAAAGCATGTATAAAAGCAATTTTTTTGTTAATTCTATATTCTATAATATAGGGTTGACAAGTTATATATATTGTTTTCATAATTAGATTCGCATCTTTTACGGTATTATCTCGACCGGCTCCAAGATTATCTGACCGCCCTCTTGCAAGGTGCTTTCTAGTTAATAATTATCTGAGATTATATGAACCCCTCATGCGAAGTGCTTTCTGGGTAATAATCATCGGAAAAGTCTAATCGACCTCAAGACGGGGCCAAATCATATGACTGCAGCAGTTAAGCGTATGCGGCACCCATTCGCGTGGTCAATCTGTTGCATCTCGTACCGATTTTCATTTATGTTCTTGACTGCAATTTTCCCAATTTATTGTAGTAAACACCCCCTCACCTTGATTTCATACATATATACACATATTTCTTTAAGTTCAGTTAATTGGAGAGTCGGGAGGTCTTTTCAGTGAGAATCGTCAAGGTAAAAACACCCCATCGTCTCTTTTATTTTTAATTTTTACTGCAGTGATACAATATGAAACCCTAGATTTCACTCTCCTATTCCCCCTCTATGTTCTTCCCCTCCATTGCTTCCGACCCATTATTTGATGCATGCTTTCATCATAAAAGTTTCTGTTAAGTTCGTGGTAGGCTGGGAAAGGCCGAACCTCCAATCATAATGGAAATTTCGCCACAAAAATTCGATATTTTAGCTCCTATGCTCAGAGATTCCTCTGCAAATCCCACATCAGTGAAGCTGCATGCTGTTCTTACAAACCCAATGCATTTCTCTGCAAAAAAGTTGAGACTGGTCCTTTCTGTTCAAAGCTTCCCCGGAAATCGGCCACTAATGGAGCTCCGAGTTGTTCTTACGAAACCTAATGCATTTCTCCACAAAAGAGCGAGATTGGTCCCCTCTGTTTGGAGATTCCTCTGCAAATCCGCCATTAATGGAGCTCAGCTTCTTTGCAATGCAGTCCTTGCCAATGTTTCAGTGCTTCCTCTCAAAGTCTGTCATTAAGGGAGATCGGAGTAGCTCCCGAGAAAATGAGCTCCGCAATAAAAGGCTTCTTTTAATGAAGCTCAGGGCTGTACCTTACCGAGAGCTCCTTCTGCAAATTCCACCATTAATGGAGATTCAGAGTTGTTTTTGCAGAGGAAAAGGAGAGAGAGATTGCTGTCTGGTAGAGAGAGAGGGGCATTAGAGAATTCTGCTTTCTAATACACACACTCACACATTTCTGATTTCTGCTTAAATATTTTGAATATTTGAAACTCAAATATCTAAGAAGTATTATGATCGATTATCATTCTAGAGGTAAATGCTCCATAATGTTTTTGTCGCCTCAACGAATCATACTTCCTTTGTGTACATCATTTCTTCGAGTTATATGTGATATGCATGGGGTTTGTGCCTCTTTGTCCTTCTCACTTAGTTTTCTTGGTGAACTTTAGATGTCAATTGGTGAAAAAGATCGGACTGAGTTACAAAAGAGCCACTTGGACGTTTTGGGAATATGTTGCATTTCAGAAGCAGCTCTCATTGAGCGAATTCTCATGTCTCCCAAGGGAGTTCACAATGTTTCAGTTCACGTGCCTTCCAAGAGCGTCATTGTCACACATGACCCAGCTATGATATCTGAAGCTCAAATAGGTTAGCATTTCATTTTATACTCTTGGCATCCAAAACTTTTAGTGTCATTAGCATTTCATTGGGGCATCTGGATTATTTGGTTGTGTCAAAGAAGTAAAATTCTTTTTCATTGTTTTGTAAACAATCATATTTTCATACTCTTGGCATCCAAAACTTTGAGTGTCATTAGCATTTTTTTTGGGGTATCTTGGTAATTTGGTTCTGTCAAAGAATAGAAATTCTTTTACATTGTTTTGTAAACTATCATCATCACCACCACCACCACCACCACCACCACCACCACCACCATCACTAAGGAAATTCATCAAATCACACTACAGTGAAACTATTTAACATTTCCCTGTAGGTATTCTTGGATAAATTTCAAAACCCATAATGATATTCACTTGATGGGTTATTTGAAATTTGATCAACAGAATGATGGGTTATCAGAAGTTTGATCAAAAGATATGAGTAGGATGTTAAATAGTTCACCTCTTGAGTCAGTTTTGATATTTTGTCCTTATTATTATTTACCAATTGCTTACAAATTGTAGTTTGGTCACTCTTAACTATTGAGTTTTGAGAGTTTTTATTTTCCTTGTCATAGTCAACAAATAATTCCTTACTTGAGGCAAATGAAATAAATATTATGAAGACATCCACTAAGGGAAAGTATACTATTCAAATCTCATGCATGAAATTCCGGACATCCCTTAGGTTTTAGTGATTGAATAGCAACTTAGAGCTCATAGGGATTATCAAGGTAATCAATTTTTTAAGATTATTGATCTGAATCTAATGGGATAGCTAACACGTTGATCATGTATTGCTTTCCAAATATACAACATAGATGTTGTGAAATCATGGAATGAGAAGGTATATCATACGCCAATGGTCTATGATGCATCATCCGGACATTGCTAGCTAAACTATAGACCTCTATGACGGACATTGATCTTGATATATTCAGTTGGTTTGCTACCTATGAAACACAACTATTTGAGTGGATACTGTCAATTATACTGTTTTGTGCTGTTCTATGGAACTTCATTACGACCCTTAGGCTAATTTTGGTCTTCTTGAACAAAATCTTGATTTTATTTTATTTTTTTGCGCCGTATACTACAAATCAGAGAATCCTATGTGCATGGAGATATCCACCTTTTGCTCTCAATGATAGGCAATGGTGATCAACTGTACTGGGAGTCCATCCATTGTTTAACTTGTATACAATTGAACTCCTAGATCTGGCAATGCGAATTGATGGTGGATGTTTCCAATGAGTATATCATACTACATTAGTCTATGGTATAGTACCACAATTTTTCTTAGAATTAGCATTAGTAGGCCAATGTTTTCTCGGGGAAATGGGCTGAGGTCACGGTGGTACTACCTCCAATGACCCAGAAAGAGGTCTCAGACTCAATTCCCATCAAAGTCTGAAGTTACTATTTATAAAAAAAAAAAGCCATTTTTTTTTCTTTGTAAAATCCAATTGTATCACTATAATTTATAGAAAAAGGGAAGCTATTTGAAAACTCCTTTCCCTTACCTCTCAGTGGTTTTCTATCATTTTGTCAGGTTCTTTACATGATTTTATGATATGAAGGCATTGTTTGTTTCCTTCTCTTATCTGTATAATCTTCTTGCAGTTGCGATACTAAACTCTGCAAAACTAGAAGCGAGTGTTCGAGAGCTCGGGACGGTGAAAAATAGAAGAACTTGGCCCAGCCCATTTACTGTAGTTTCTGGGGTTCTTCTCCTCTTGTCCCTCACAAAATTTTGGTTTAAACCCATGCATTGGTTGGCTCTTGGGGCTGTTGTTACTGGACTTCCTCAAGTTGTTGTGCGAAGCTTCGCAACCATACAACAAAAGATTTTGGATATTAACAGTCTCATGTTAATTGCAGGTAAATCACAAACCAATAGTGTTCATATTTCCACCCACTGAAAATAAAACTTGACTTCATACTACTCAATTAATAGATAGGACTAATAGGCTGGAGTTCTAATGCAGGAAGGTAAGAAATTAAATCCACCTTTTCTCCCAATCCTCAAACAAGAAAATCTGCAATAAAGGGTAACCGTGGCTGTAAATCAAGCTAAGAGGAGAACAACTCTCTTCTTTCATAAAATAATTTTCATTAAAAGATAACATCGACCTCCCAAAATGTGACATCTAACCTGTTATGTGCCTATGAAACCCTAACATTAACTTGAGATCCAAGTAAATATTTTAGATTTTAAAATGCCCCAAAACAATACTAAAATTTCAGAACTACCCCTTTGAATAGTACCATTGAACAATACCTATGAATAATAGTAGGTGAATAGTATGTAGAAATATATAAAAAAAAACCTAGAATCACTAAAAAACTTGAAAACCCTAGAATTAGACCTTGAAACTAAGATTAAACTATGCATCCTTTGACATTAAATAATATTAAAATAAAAATAATCTTGTGCTGCATCATTATCCCCTAGTTGGGGAAAACTCATTCTCGAGTTTTAAAGTTGCTAAGATGAATTTAGCTTCAAAAGCACATGCTTCAACCTTCTTCTTCTTTATTGGCTCAAATATTATTCATAGTAAAGGGAATTCCTCATATAAACGGATCCTGATATGGATAATAAAGAATTACTACAAACTTATCAAATTCGGCTATCCCTGAACTTGCGTTGAAAATTCCATCCGGAACTTTAAATGCAATTTTTTTGTCTTTTAGGAGCTTCTAGACATCTCTTTCATTATTCTCTGAAATCAGGGTCAATTTGTTGCTTATGACTCAACCACATTTCCATTGCACTACTTTAATTCCAATGCCCTAACTCTCTTGAATGCTCCACCTCTTTGATATCCTTGAGATCTTCAAAGGTCATGGTTTTGATCAGTTCCCCTACTGTCTTTTCTCTCCATATTCTTTTGAGCAAGATCATCTTCCGAACATATCCCTGTCATAGATAGGTTCTTGAAATTCTTCAACTTCGTCCCATGGTTCATCAAAAATAGGATCACCATTAAAGAGAATACCTGGTTCTTTATTAAAAATAGGATCAGTATCAAAGATAAGACCTTCTACTGATTTCAGGAACATTGAATCCGATTGAAGATTGGATCCTTGTTGTTCTCCTTCAAAGTTTTGCTCATGTTGACGCTATCACGCATCAAACCCATCGTTAACTTCACACATCATCTCTTTGTTTCCACTTAGTCTTGGGTTGTGATTCATGAGATTGTCCCTAAAACCCTTAGGAATTGGATCAGTCCCTGGAGATTCCTCTTCTTTAAGGGCATGTTGGTGCTAGTCTCGCTTGTGCAACAACTGTGTAACCCTCTCCATCAAGTTGTTGATTTCCTTATGCAATCAGATCAGATTGGCATTCCTATGACTAATACCTCTACGACTAGCCATCAAAATCTTTAACCGTCTTCGAATCGAGCTCTGATACCACTTGATTAGGAAGGAAAAGTATGAAATTAAATCCACCTTTTTTCCCGATCCTCAAACCAACAAATCAGCAATAAAGGGTAATCATTGCTGTAAATCAAGCCAGCATAAGAAAAAATTTCTCCTTTTATAAAATAAATTTCACACATAACATTGGCCCTCAAAATGTGACATCTAACTTTTTATAAGCCTATGAAACCCTAAAATTAACTTGATATGCAAGTAAACATTTAAGACTCTAAAATGCCCCTAAACAATACTAAAATTCTAGAATACCCTTGTTAATATTAACACATGAATAGTACCCGTGAACAGTAAAAACACCTATGAATAATAACCAATAAATAATAAATAATAAATATAAAAAAAACCTAGAATCCCTATAAAACTTAAAAACCCTAGAAATAGGCCTTAAAACTAAAATTAAAATATGCATCCTTTGACATTAAACAAATATTGAAATTAAGAATAATCTTGTCCTTCATCAAGTTCTCTCTTCGTAAGAGATCATTGTAAGGAAGTGTTCAAGCTGACTATGGACTAAATATAATTGAAAGGTTGAAGTTGTTTCCTTGAAAGCGGCCACTTCTCCGCTAAAGTAATCATATCAAAGGTAAAAGTTTTGGTTTTAGTTCCAAACCAAACAAATCAGTGTTACCAACCCTAAAGAAAGAAGAACAAGTGGTTTGGACAAAATGATAAACCAAATTGTGTTGGGCGCATTTAAATTTTTGTTTTGAAATTTGAACTTCTCCTAGTTCTAGCTGCAGTGATGCATATACATATATACACACACACATATGGAAGCCACTACGCAACATCTATGGATAAAAATGAATAGTATTTTCACCCATAGGCTCGGTGCCATCCGAATTTTTTGGACGGCGTGGATAAATCGATTGTATTGGACATGCTACCTCTGCGGTCAATTTTTCACGCAAAAACACGGGAAACTACAACGGCTCTCGTAGAGCTGTTGTGGGGTGAAACACTATACATTTTCACCCTATGGCATTTTTAAGCC